GTGTGCCTTGGCTGAGTCAAGGCGAGCTGTCAGAAGGCAGACCAATGGAGGAAATAAACCACATCCAGTGTTCTGCACGTAGACTGCAATGCAGACACACTAACCAGAAGTAACAGAGCTGATGATAAAGACACCAGCAGGGATGCACAAAATCTATCAGGCATATAAATGATTGTACAATTAAGTACGATTTATATGATGTAATGTTCCCATAGTGAAGTTAGCGCTGTAGAAGCCAAATTGCTTTCATTATCTTAACGTAAAGTGCAGCATCTACACGCTCTGATAAAGTATCTGACAATATGCCTCTTTACAGTTAGTGTTTGCTCTGCCAATAAACACAGAGAAGAAGAAGCAGAACTAAATGCACCACCCTGACTGGAGAGCCGAGCAGTTAGTCGCTGATGTTGACATTTTGATTGTTTACATTCGACTCTATTGTCATTGCAAAGAGTACAAGAACCAGCACAACAGCAGATGTCCCAGCGAGAAAACAGGATTGCTAATTGCTATGCACGTTTTGTTATTAACTAGAGACAATGAAGAACATGTAAACAGTAAGAACTGTTTTTTGATAGGTTGTGAAAACTAGTGATGTCAGTTAAATTTGATCAGAGTTATGGAGTATTGAATAATCCACCTTTACTCACTATCTTAGCCGTTCTTACCCTTACTGTGCAGAAACTACAGGTTATAAGCTTCTGTTTAAAATACAATAACGGGAAATGATGGGTCATCTGATCAGTGTCGGCCATGATGAGGAGGTAATTTTTCTTTGTCAGTATTGTCTGAAAATAAATCCTTATCCTGCAACCTTCAACCAGAGTGCAGCTTTTAGTTTTCATGCTGCAACGTTTGCTGCTTGAGCTTTGAAAATGCAGTCAGGTAAGGCGAACCGATCGGCCTCTCAGTCAAAGTGACAGACACTCAGAACCCGGAGGGATCGTGTTATGCTGGCCTTGTGCTTTCTCGGCACTGCAATACAGACTACCTCATCACACCTGACAGCACTAGCACTGAATGCTGCTCAGAGCATGCAACGCAAGGCAGACCAAACACAAGCAGGATGTAATACACAGTCATGGGAACTCCCTCCCACGCCCACACACAAACACACAGAAGATATCCCGGTAACCATGGAAACCCTCCACATCCTCACCAATGACATCACGGGCTTTACATCACGACAGAAACATGGGGCCGAGCAATCACCTGATCCGCTGTTAAACCAGCTCAAGGTGAGGGGGCCACACAGGTGAACCATCTGGACGCCAGGATGATGGTGAAGATGATTGAGGGGATGAGGAAGAGGGACTAAGAATAGACCCTCCTGCCTCGGAGAAAGAGACAGAAGAGTGAGGAGGCGTGTGTGTGTTCAGTCTCTATTGCTAGCCACCGGAACCAAAAGCCATATGTGAGCAGGGACTCATGAACACACACACACACACACATACAGACTATGTGATGAGCAAGTGAGGCAGGCAGATGGATGAGGACAGAGAGATAAATCAAGCAGGAATGGGGGGGTCTCGCAACATCCACTCACAGGATTGCTGCTACTTGATGATCGTCACCTCGTGTACAGTATAAAACCCTGATGTAAGCTGCTGGTGACAGCATGCTCCGTGCTGTAATGCTGGCCACACCAACATACTTTCACACCAGGGTGCTGCACACTAGGGGTTTCACAACTACCAATATTTACTAGTCGACTAGTTTTTCAAAATAGTAGTCGACTAGTCGACTAGTCGTTACGTCATAATAAAGACACACAAAGAGAGGTTTACAACTGTATTTTCTATTGGAACTCATACAGTAACATTAAACACTGCATTTTAATTTGTGTTACATGGCTGAGTAAATAACAACACTGGACTCACCAAAATNTTCGGGTGACAGTGTTGCCTGCCAGGGAAAAAACCCTCTCACTCGGGGTGCTTGTGGCTGGAATAGCCAGGTAGCTCCTCGAAAGCGGGGGAAGCGGTGCACGTTTTCTGCCCACCACTCCAGTGGATTATCCATTGTGGGGATATGCGGTGTCCGCTGGCAGTAATCCCGTAGCTCATCATCCGCATCACTGTTGACCCGTGTTTTCTTGCTGTTCGTTTGCCTCAGTTCAGTGCTGACGCCGGTCCGTTGCTCACTGGTGCTAGCATTAATGCTAGTGCTAGCTGTCGGCAGCGGGTGTTTCATCTTTAGATGGTTGCGCATAGCAGATGCATTTGTATTGTACTTCAGTACAGCTGTACACAACTGACACTTCACTGTGGAGTTGGTTACATCTTCGTTGAAGTACTGCCATACATAAGAATGTCGGACGTGTTTTGTAGCATTTTGCAGCACCTCGTTTACCTCCATTTTTTCACGACTAGTCGACTAGGGCCTACAGCGCTGATGTAAGCTGCTGGTGACAGCATGCTCCGTGCTGTAATTCTGGCCACACCAACATACTTTCACACCAGGGTGCTGCACACAGACACCAAATGGATGTAATGGCCTGGTGTTGATCACATGGGGAAATGTACAGCTAATGGCCATATACTGTAGCAACATTTGAAGCAGCAACCAGGAAAGCAGTTATCCAGTCTCTTTGCTGCTGTATAATAATGTCTGAGGAAGTGGGCAAGGATACATTTGAAAAAGAGTGTTGAGTTGCAAATGAGTCTGTGTATCAAATCTCATTCTGGCTGCTGTGGCTTTACTATTAGAAGCAGCTCCCTGTCTTCCCTCTGAGGCAATAATGAGCAACAGACTGCCTTCGAGTAATTCCTTGTTTTTCGAAATGCATGTGTGGTGATCAGCAGAAGGCAATGGTTCATATCCTGGAATGCTCTGGGAGCTGGGAGGCACACATGCTGGACAGAAGCAGTAGCAGCAGTAGCTCTAGCCCCAAAACGGTGCTCCCTCCTTGGGCTGAAGCTACAGCTCCTTGCCCCACCACAGAGCTCCGTCCTGGGGCTGAAGCTACAGCTCCTGGCCCCACCACAGAGCTCCGTCCTGGGGCTCCTGAAGCTACACCTCGGCTCAACAGCTGTGTCCAGCTGTGCTACAGGGAGACACTGGGGGCTTTGTTCCCCACAGGGGGAGGCAGGGTTGTTGGGAGAGGTAATGCAAACGGTGTCCCTGTGTGTACACATAGTTTCATTTCCAGAAACTGTCTCCACCAGAAGTGTTTCCCCCCCGAAAGGCGGCCCTACAACGGCAGCAGGCAGGGAGGGAGCAGCGGGACAGGGTGGCAAAGCGGACCAGGATGTGTGGAAAATTTCAAATACGCTGAGCCAACGCTGTCCAAGCCAAGCGAGGCACATTCACACACACACTTACTGAACCCCCAGAAATGCACACATCCCACTTGAAGCCCTCTTGCTTCTCGTATCGCCCGTGAAATTATGAGATATATCTGCACCGCCAAGTAACAAAACATCGATACATGCTAAGCGGCGGTGTGCAGAAAGGAAAGCGCCGGGTAATCACGGCACACTCAGGAAACAACAACAAAAGAGAGGAGTAAAGAGAGAAAGAAACCACAGGCAGCAGCGTGGTTTACTCCCAGGGATATATGACACCTCTGGGAGAAGATTAACTAGTAATTCACGGTGTTACTCACTCAAATGAACCGGGTGCGCTCGGTCCACTGGAGGATAGCCGGTCGGTCTTCCGGCTGAGAGTCGGGTGGGATCTGCGCTATGAATACCGGAGAGCTTACAGCCTGAAGGACTGAACGTAAACTGTGGCTTGCGTCATTTCACCAGGATGCCACTATTGCGCGCAGCAATGCAGCCATCTTGCTGAGGAGTGCCCCACCAACTCACCAATCACTGCTGGACATGAGGCTTATTTTGGTCCCAGAAATGAAAGTGATCCACCTAGAGATCTTAGTAATTCCCATGCATAATGCAGAGCAATATCTGAGGGAAACCCATTAACAAAATGGACTATGTTTCACATGTTTTTCATAAAATAATTATTGTTTAATGTCACTTGGTGTCACTTTAATATAGGCCTACTGTAAATCACTGCTTGATCTAAGTCTTATTTTGGTCCCAGAAATAAAAGCGTTTCAACACGAGATCTTAGTATTTCCCATGCATAGCCTAATGCAGAGCAATATCTGAAGGAAACCCATTAACAAAAATTGATTATATTTCACCTTTTCTTCATAGAACACTTAATGTTTGGTACCACACTAGTGTAACTTTAATATCTTGTAAATTACTGCTTCAACCACAGGATCTTAATATTTCCTACATAATGCAGGGCAATACCTGAAGATATTTTGACAAAAAAATCGACTATATTTAACTTTTTCTTCATAAAATGCTCCATGTTTGGTGTCACTTAAATATACTTACTGTAAAGTATTGGTGGAAATGACTGAGTCTTATTTTTCTCCAAGAAATAAAAGTGATCAACCACGGAATCGTATAATTCCGAATCATAATGCAGTGCAATGTCTAAAGATACATTTACAAAAGAAAAAGTAAAATTTAAACTTTTCTTCATAACATATTACATGTTTTTAAAATGTACTGCTGGACCTGAGTTTATTTTGGTCACAGAAATAAATGATCCAGTAAAAGGCAGTGCAATATCGGAGACAAAATTATGTGTTGAGCTTTTTTAACAATTTAGGGAAAAGTGTCTCCACCTCGACCAGGTGTAATATTAAAGGGCAGACATGGCAATGTATAAATCGTAATAATAATCCCAATAGATACAACTGTTTTTAGTCTGGACACTTAGAGTGCATTTTTTCTATTTCCAATTTAGAGTGCAATTGTAATGCAGGGATTCACTTGTAACTGAATATAGCTCCTGTTAATCTTAATTAAAATATGTAATCACTTCTTCCACTGCAGCTGTAATCAGTTTGACAGTAATTCTATTGTGCATATTGAGAATGTCATGTTCATTTAACTGATTTTATGTGGGTGTACACCCACTGTTTATAGAAAAATGATTCTTGGAAAATAACTGGTTTAAAAATGTTACCTCTCACTCATCTATTCCGCTTTCTTGTAAAAGGCATTTCCTCAAAAAGTCCTCAGAAAAGAGATGCTTAACAGTATGATATATTAGAGCAACTTTGAAATCCCTTCTAGTGGTATAACATTCAGTGAGAAAACTACTTGGATTCAGCCATGTCTACATCTAAAATCCTGAATCTCCTTTAATATATTATTTGTTTTTATCAACTTTAACAACTAAATTAAACATCCAGTGTAAAAATAGTAAAAATAACCAAGCCAGACTTCCCAGTTTCCCTCTTAATCTTTTATTTCATTACATTTTATCACGTTAACTTAATGGCTTATTTCTGCTCCTTCCAATCAGTCAGCAGCTAAGCATGACAGACAGATCTCATAGCGCCCCCCTGTGGCCGCCTACAGCCGTGTAATCCATCCCAGCAGCTGCTTAGGGAGTCTGCTCCACCCGATGTGGTCCAGAGGCTGTTTGTGGGGTGAACCAGAACCTGAGCAAAGCAGCGCTATATTATTTTAATCAATATATCTCCACAAATACATATTTACATAGACAGATGACTTCATATATCCTCCAGAAAGATCAAGTTTGGCGTTGTCTACCGTAAACCCATAACAAAAAATATCCTGCAGTCACACATCCCCAAATGAATTAAGTCCTCAAGTCACATCAATGTGTACAAATGATTAGGCCAAAGACGTAAATGTATCACATATAATCATCACATTTAAAATCAAATTAATTGGTCGATGGATTAATTCATAATTGTTGGACCAATGCATAGAGAGAACAACAGTGTGAGAAGTAATTTGAAGTGGAAGTGAGAAGCTGTAACACACACACAGTCTGGCCCATTTCATTCATAGGGTTTCCTTTGACAGATAAACAGAAACTGTATGAGAAAGTGAGGTAAAAACCCTGGTCTCTCATCCATTATCTACCAGGCTAAAAATGACTCCCTTATGGTCCGGAGATGCAGTGTTTGGGCTGCCTTGGCACGTGTTACCGTCCACAGAGACCAAGAGAAACAGTCTCTCCAGCTTTCTTGGAGCTCACCAGATTGAGCCCGGTGACTGGTGATGATGCGGCCCCTCCGTGCTCCTCCTCACAGGGAGGGATCCCAACGCAGTCACAGGGTACGACACGCCCGACGACTGTCAGAGCCCTAAGGTCAAAGCTCGTCCTTCTCCATCTGCTGGAACGCCTCCAAGTCTTCCCGCCAATCAGCCAACAGTTCATCCACTGACTGGTTTGAGTCTGTGCCGCCTTCCTTGCTCTTTTCAGAGTCTGTCTCCTCTTTGGGCTGAGTCGAATCCGCCACTGTAGGAGGAGCTCTCTCTTCTGCGGGACTAGCTTCCTCTGTGGGACTAGCTTCCTTATCAGCTGGTCCAACTCCCTCTGTGGGACTAGCTTCCTTATCAGCTGGTCCAACTCCCTCTGTGGGACTAGCTTCCTTATCAGCTGGTCCAACTCCCTCTGCAGGGCTAGCTTCCTCTGCGGGACTAGCTTCCTTATCAGCTGGTCCAACTCCCTCTGCAGGACTAGCTTCCTTCTCAGCTGGTCCAACTCCCTCTGCAGGACTAGCTTCGTCCATAGGACTAGTGTCTTGATCTACATCACTGACAGCCTCCTGTGATGGCTTAATCTCGTCTAGCGCCAAAGTGCTAATTAGCGATTCACTAATTGGCTCAAAATTGGTGGGGGTTGTTGCCTCAGTTAAGCAGCCCCCCTCAGAAGCTTCCACGTCCGCACCTGAAAAAGAAAGCAGAGGTGTGAGAGACGCACAAAGCCTGTATACTCCTCCTCAGTCAGTCATCTTTACAACATGCAGCCATTCTTGGGCAAAAATAGAAGCGTTTTCATCGTGAGGTTGTCAACTGTAACGGCATGATGCTGACGGTGAGTCATGTTTCCCACAGGATAAAGACTTTCTCACATAGCTGCGCAACCAAATTGAGAGTCAACTGTGAAATGACATCTGGCAAAAAATATACTGTGAATTGTGCACCGATCTGGTTAGGGAAAGTTGATATGACACGTTTGAAAAAAAAAAATGTTCCTGTATATTTAACTCCTGAGTGAATATGTGTTAAGGAACAAGTCTTTTAATTATACTTTACAGTCAAGGGGATAAAGCAATGACTGTTACTTCAAGGCTGTGTGATTTAGGTACAGAAAGGCAAAAGGGATCTGGTCTTTTTTGTATTCTGGTGGCTTTGTTTGAAAATAATAACAAGGTCTGTGGCCAATTGTCTGTTTTGGGAAGCAGCTCGTCTGTGAAAGCGTGTAGCCAGATCCATATCAGCTCTCATTGTGCTGTTATGGATCCGATCCTGTATAAACACCCAGGTTACTTGTAAAGATTATGGCCTTTGTTTAGGCTTCCTCGCATTAGTTCTGGAATCTAACCATTTTATAACCCGTTTGACAGGAAACCGTTGGATAACCAAAAGCAATTTTAGGCTAGAATTAAGTAAAGCAGATCAAAAATAAACGGTGAGTCTCACACCAGAAACAGTCATGTAAAATCACTGTTATATGGCTATTGGTTTCCTCTAATGATTAACAGACACAAAAGAGCTGCCGTGTCCTCAGCTTTGAAGGGTAAAATCATAAATGACAATACTGTGACTGCAAGCTTTTTATATCAAACACAAACCGAATCCTGTGGTTTGAGGGCAGAGGGGAAATGGAGATAAAAGAAAGAGAAAGGATGCAGAAAGAGAATAACAGGCACAGAAAGAAGGAAGAGAATACTTACTGCCCTCAATCTGGCTGCCAGGGCGAGGTTTACCTTTGAATATTGTTGCTGCTCATCCAAATGGGAGAGGGTTATGAAAGAAGAAAAGAAACCAAGAGGAAAGGCACCGTTACAAACCACCACAGGGAATTGGCAAAGGAGGTAAGAATAAAAGAATGAGGATGCAATATTGATAAGGGGGTACAACTCCTAACCATCCACTGTTATAAACCACAGCTTGGGAATGAGTCACGCTCTCCGAGACTTCAAAATAATGCCTGAGCCCCTACATCTCATCTTTATTTCATGAAGCCAGGAACATAATGAGGCTCAGTCAGTGGAGAGAGAGAGATAACTCCACTGATGTGATCAATCTGGAGTGATAAGTGGAACACTCAGGGAGTCATGTCACACCTCTGTCTCTGGCTTTGTCGCTCAGCAGCACCTCCACCTCCCGGTACTCCTTCAGCGTCTCCAGCAGGATGTTGCCCTCCTTGTGGAAGAGGAAGAGGAGCGGCAGGGTGACGTCGTCCGTGCTGCGGCCGTCGCCCGCCATCTGAAACAGGGGCGCTGTGTCGCTGCTGCTGCCCTCGTTGTCGTCTGGAAGGAGAGGGAGAGAGCAAAGGGAGATGAGAGGGAGAGAGCAAAGGGAGATGAGAGGGAGAGAGCAAAGGGAGATGAGAGGGAGAGAGCAAAGGGAGATAGAGAGAGAGAGAGAGAGCAAAGGGAGATGAGAGAGAGAGAGATAGTGGTGCTGAAAGAATTTGTTGATCGAAATTGAAAATGAACTTACAACAACTTTTATACAAGGGACAGTTTCATCGCACAGGCCATAAGACTGTTAAACAACTGAACTTTTGAAAGAACATCCATAACATTCATCTGTTTGCAACTTATATATATCAATATTCCAATTACTTGTGTATAGAATATTCTGCACTATTTCTACTTTCACTATTTTATTGTGTTACACTGCTGGAGTAGCCTGTGCCCTAAGATTTTCATTGTCATAACTCCACTGTAGCTATGTACAAATGACAATAGAAGCCTTGAATATTGTTAATTGAAGTCCTTTAAAACAAGGTAGACTAATGTATTTAAGAAAAGTATGTTGTTGTATTTCTTTAAATTCATCAACAGCGAATGCTCAGACATGAACAAAGGAAAAGAAAATACAGAATGTGTGACTGTAACGACGAGACGCCGTTACTGCTATTTATTCAATGGCATTAATTATATAAGTGTTCACCCCTCATCTTGTCTGTTGTTTCCGGTCTTCTCTGTGTTCCCTCCTGCTGATTATCCGATTGTGTTCACCTGGTGCCCTGTGTTTGCTCCACCCCTCACCTGTCTAATTGCTCCCCCATCACCTGTGTGTTGTTAGTCTGTGTGTGTATTTAGGTGCTGTGTCTTGAGAGTGGTAGTATGTGTGAGATCCTGGTGGCTGCAGGCTGGGCTCACGTGAAACAGCAGCAGCAGGATTGAGGCTGTGTGTAATGTTTTAATAAATGCCCACGTCGGGTTATATTTTTGGACGTTCTGCCTCTGCCTCCTTGCTTGGTCGGGCCGCTCAACGGTCAGTCTCACAGTGACTGTAAAAAGTGTGACTTTTCCTACCTGCCTCTCTCCCTGCCTTTGCACTCATTGCACGATACTCCAGTCTTTTCAAAATATGCTAGCTTGACATCTGTGAGTATAGTTGCCATGTTTGTTGTTTACGTTCATCATGATATGTTTACGTTTAATGGGAGTGGCTTTAGAGGGAGGCCTGAAGAGACGGGCTGTTGCCAAGTTAGCTACCTTAACTGTAAGAGTTAGCAACAATGTGCTGTTGTTTTTGATTGGATGATTTTCTATAACACTTGTTGGCTTTTCCAATGTTACTGATCTTTAACACTAAAAACATATTTTTCTTTGATTAGTTTCTGACATTTTCTAAATTAAAAGTTTCATCTATTCATTAATACACTTTTGTATGTGGTATAAAGGGATTCACAGCTGTTTATAAAAGGTCCTATATACAGTGATGCAAACACAGGTATGGTGAAAAAAGAGAGAACTATTCGAAGCAGAAAAAAAACAGCGTAATATACCATCTGACTGACAGATTTTTCTTTTTGGATATTTTACAAATCACTCCCCTTTCAAATCTCTATTCTTGTTATTTTTAACAACTTTTTTTTGTTACTGTCATAGTAAAAGTTGTTAAAAATAACAAGAATAGAGATTTGAAAGGGGAGTGATTTGTAAAATATCCAAAAAGAAAAATCTGTCAGTC